CTTTTTTTCACATATATATATAGATATAAAATGTTTGTCAACTAGATTTCTAAAAAATTAGGAGGAAAAATGCACCAAAACTATATTATTTCAATAAATTTTTATTGAAAAATTTATTGAAAAAGACTAAAATAATATATTTTTAAAGCAATGATGGGATCATTTTGGTCTTTTCCCATTCTGTTTTATTGAAAAATATAGTTTGTGGTCTTTATCCTCTTAATTTTTTAGAGGTTGGACTAATAAACACTAACTTTTATATATGAGAATAATGCATATTAATCTAGATTTTCATTAAAAAATTAGATTACCAACTTTAATAAAATACCACCCTCTAATGAATGTTTTGAAAAATCAACCATTAGATTTAATATTTTATTTATATAGATTATGCAAATCAAATTTTAAGTTGATTTAACATCTATAATCATTTGATTAAGAAATTTGTATTTTAACATATATTTAATAATGTTAAATTTTGTATAATCAATAAACTGATTAGATATGTTCAATCAATCTAAAAATTGACGTACATAATATATATGAATGTAATACTAAGTTCGATAGTTGATTTTTGAAAACATTAATTGGAGGGTGATGTTTTTGAATTTAAGCCTCCCATTTTTTCATAGGATTTATGATTAATATGCACTATTATGTATGTATATATGGAAAATTACCCATCCACCTTACCTCCTAGAAGTTAAAAGGAAAATCATTTTAAAACTATGTAATTTTAATAAACTTTTGTTAAAAAATATTAAAATATCATTTTTTAAAGTATCAATTGGATTGCTTTTTTATCCTTTCTCATGGTGTTTAATTGAAACCACGCACTTGGGGTAATTTTTCTTCTAACTTTTAAAAGATAATCGATAAGCATTAATATTATATATATAGAATTATAATCCATTTACACATAATCCTTACATATATCACTTATATAAAATCTTAATAATTTATCTTTTTACTATAAACTATTGGGATTTATTTGTTTTTTATCCTATATTTTAAATATAATTATCTTTTTTATATAAAAATTTTAATAAATCTTAACCATTTTATTGTCTCCAAAATCTCCCTTTTCAACCGTATGGTAGATAAGACTGTAAATGTATGCCACTCATTTTGCTCAAAGTGAAAAAGAAGGATTCTTGGAGACCCTCACTACTTCCAAGTGTGGAACTCAGCTACAAATCAATGGAAGTGCATCGGTTAATTAAATTATGAGATGTGCCTTGGTTAAACGATTGTTGCAAAAATGAGAGTGCAACCCTACATAAAGGTCCATAAATAATTACCCTAGAAGAACATGAGGGACTTCCCATGACTAGAGCCAAAATGTTAGTTTGCTAATCAAAATAAAAGAGAAAAATAAAGGAAAAGAGAAGAAAGAGAGTGCATGGCAAGAAAACTAAATTACAGAAAGGAAGCGTGATGTTGCTACGAAAGCATGAAAGCTTAAAAAATGAAATAAAAGCTGAAGTATAAAACTGAATTTAAAAGAAATTTAGGGCAAAATGCAATAAATTGAATTGAAAGAAACTAAATACATTAGTGTAGATGTTCACAAGAACATATCAAAAACTAGAGCAAAACTAATGGTAGCATAGAGTTAAAGACTAAAATAGGAAAATTGTTAGAGAAAGCGGCAAAAGCCTAAAAATAGCCCTTTACCTTGATAAGTTGGACGGTTTTAGCCCTTCACCTTTTAATATAACAGTTTTAGCCCCTAACCTATAAGAATTGAAGAAAATAGCCCTTCCTTGTAACTTCCATCACACGTCCGTAACTTTCGCACACATCCGTCACTTTCTACTTCGTCCGTTATATTTCCGTTAACTTCCGTCCGTCACTTCCGTTACCATTAAAAAAATGAGAAAGTTTCTCCAAGAAGCCTACTGCAATTTTTTGGGGAATTGCAACCTTTTTTTTTTTCGAGAATTGTAACAATTTTTCTTACCGACGCCTGCACATGTATTAATTATATATATTTTATATATTATTAAATAAATAAATATAATTAATATAATAAATTATAAATAAATAAAATACATAATATAATAAAAAATTAA